CAGACGCCTCAACCTTTTTATTCAATTGAGCATGCAAGTCATGGATATCTGAGCCAAATTGGTCTATCTCTTGCCTGAGCTCAGTTCTTGCTTCTATTAGTTGTTCTGTCATATTTGAAAGACCATAACGGAGAAACTCATGAGATTTTATAAGTTGAGCTTGTTCCTCTAGCCAAGATTGGCTCACTATATCCGCTTCTTCAAAATTATCTTCTGGTGGGAACTCTCTCTCTTCGACCACTTCCTCCGCCTCGGCCATCATTCTCATGATTGCTTCACTAATTCTTTGTATAGCCTTTCGATTTTCATCTTGTTGCTCGGCTACTTGCCTCATCATGTCCATAATACGAGCCATGCCTTCCATATCCTCCACTTCCTTGCTCCTATCAAACTCATAAACATTATTAGAGACATTATAATAAGAACTCTGAGAAGGATAATAAGAATTAGGACAACCATCCCATGACCACCTTGACAACCACACACATTACAAAAATTCCACATATTAGATTGAGATGCACAATTTTGCCCAAAGTGTAGTCCTCCAAATATGGACATGGATCACCAAAATAAGAATAACCAATATTCGACCAATTATCATTCCAAGATGACATATCAACAAAGATAGTAAAATATTAAACTAAGATAAAAGTAAAAAATAAAAACTTGAATAGGCAAAAAGTAAAAATCCAATCTAGTAGAATAGTTAATTACTAAGTCCCCGGCAACGGCGCCAAAAACTTGTTGCGGCCAAACGCACACGCAAGTATACGCAGTCGTCAAGTAATAAAGTGACTAAAAGTCGGATGTCGATCCCACGAGGACTTGTGATTAACCATTAACTAAATTAGACTATCCTGATTATCTAAACAAGAATTAAACCTAGAAGTAATTGATTCTAAACTAATTAAATAAAGAATATAAATAATGAACTTTAAACAGAGGAAGAACAGATTTTTGTGATATCAATGTAATGAAAACGATCTAGGGTTATGGGCTATCTAACATTCCTATGGTATTCTTCAATTGAATTGACTAACTAATTTATCTAGTTTATTGGTTGACAGGGTTAATATTGCTCATAAGAATCTGTCGATTTCTTACTCGCCTATTCAAGCTAACCTAACGCCTATATGTCTATGGAGTTAGAATCAACAAGAACGCATTTATAATTCCTGTATTTCAACCAAGCAAGGCAATTAGGTATATGTCTATCCTAATTGCGAATCCGTTCCCCGATGCCCAGGTTCAAGAACTTGCTCTACTCAATCCTATATGCAATCTAGAATTCCCACTTTCGAGTTCAACTCTAGATTCGTAGATAGTATTCAATTGGTGATCAAGCAATCAAATAATTAAGTGCAGGATTGAATAAATAAACCAATATGATAAACTAAGCAATCAAAATCAATATTCGAATAACAATAGTCATGAAAGAACCACAACCCTAGAACGTGAAGCTTAGCTCCACATAGACATGGTAGCAAAACAACTAATCATACAAAGAAACATAAAAGACTAAGTTGGTGGAAGAAAAGATGAAACCCGGCCTCCAGGCGGCTCTGTGCTCTTCCTTGGTCAAGAATTGCTCTAAAAAACGTTCTCCTATGTATATATACCAAGTAGGGTTAGGCCCAAATAATTATACCTTCTCCAATGTGAAAAAGGACACTTTTCCCGGGCTTAACTAGCGCTGCCGCGCACCTGGACGCGCATCTGGGCGCGCTAGTTGACAAGTGTTCTGTTTCTGGGCGCGCTAAAACTAGCGCGGCCGCGCATCTGGGAATTTTTCACCCTGTTCCGTTCCGAATTTGGAAAAACGTAAAACATGAAAGTTGTAGCTCTTTGAGTTATCTTTCCAACCATATATTGTGGAGCCAAAATGAAGTTTTGAGCGAAAAGTTATGTCTATTTTACTAGACAGTACGCAATCTGCCTATTGGAGTCTTCGTTCGCTCTAACTATCATCCGTTGACCCCCAAACACGATCCCGGCTTAATTCCTTGAACTTTTACTCAAACTTTAAAGCTCCAAATCACTTGAATTCATTCCATAACATCTATATAGCTCGGAATCACTACTACAAGGCATAAAACATACAATTAGTGCAAAACACTAGCGATTAAAGCTCAAACTCAATTAAAGTGCAGTAAATTAGAGTGTAATAATCGACTAAAATACGTAATTATAACCTATCATCAGTTATACATCATATTCAACACTAATCTTATACATAGCAAATCATGCCACATTACAAATACCATAATTTTTACATGAATAAGCATGTATGAAGATCCATCTGTCCTTTCAAAAAAAATTCCAAATTCTTTCTAACACATGAGGAGAGTATTCTTGTAAACAAATAATTCTTTAAAAAAATTAATGCAATATATGTTATATATATATATATATATATATATATATATATGTTCGGTTCGGCAGAAGAAAGCTGAGAAAACAAATAGAAAGAGCACTATGCAAGCTTATAATTAAGCAAATATATAAAAGCTATCATATATATATATATATATATATATATATATATATATATATATATATATATATATATATATATATATATATATATATATATATAAAATACGTCTAGCTAGCACTTCCTAAAGATTCATTGAAGCTGTGTTTAGTTTGGATCTGTGTTGACAAATATTGCAAGTTGTTAAATGACAGTTATTTTGAGCATTATACGAGTGTCAAGGCCTTGATTCTTGATAATAGAAGATGAGGACAAATGTGAAGTCAAATTAACAAATCGTACGTTCACATTTTGGAGGTCAAAGTATATATTTGAGTTTGGAAATAATACAAGGCTTTTGGTACTGTGAGATTTTATAGAGACATAAAAAGACCAGGTTCGTACGATGTAACTAATTAATTGTGTGGTCAATGAACTAACTCGAGGTTTAATTTGGAAAAGGAAAATAGAATAATTAATTAAGAACTAAATCGAACACACTTCCTAAGGAAATATCATACATCTCAAACACAATATTATCATTAGAGCTGTCAATATGGGCGGGTCGGGCTAGCCCAGCCCAACCACGTGGGCTTTAGCAATTGACGGGTTGGGCTGGGCTAGTCCGCCATTTTGATTAGCCTTATAATGGTCGGCCCATCCCAGCCCTATGTGGACTGCGGGCCCTCACGGGCCAGCCCATTTTTAAAAAAATATAATTTTATAATTTTTCTTTAAGTTCTAACCTAAAAAGATAAATATTTAAAAGTTAAAAAAAATCTTATTGAAAAAATTTTACAAAACTTAATAACTTTTATATTGTTCCAATATATCACAATAAACACTAAAAAAATAAAAGATAAGACTATATTTTATTCACTAAAAGTTAAACTCAAATAAAAGTATTCAAGAGAACGTCTATACGTTTATGGGAAATTTAACACATCATCTTCATCAAACACATTCGAATCCGCTTGTGAGAAGGTTGCCTTAACATCTTCACTTTTATCTACCTTTACAATTCGTATCAATATTAATTAGTTAAATATTAAAAATAATTAAATTTTTAAAATTAATTAACGTTAAGACTTTGATCTTTTAATATGATGAGCTTAATAAACTTTAAGCTTGGGATACTCTTTATGTTATTTTTTGTATCATATACTTTTTTATATTTTGTATATTTTAAATACGTATTTTTATTAGTCTCACGGGCCATGCTCACTCAAGCCTCATGGGCCACGAGCTTACTCGGGCCGGGCTTCAAAGTCTCACTTTTAAATGGACTCCAAAAATTCTAGCCCATCCCTGCTAAATTACGAGCCGGGCTGGGCTGGCCCAACGGGCCAAGCCCATATTAATGGCTCTAATCATCATCGATCTATATTCCAAGATGATTGATCTGTTATTCTCTTCATTGGCAAAACTGATCGTTTGGTTAATGGAATAAGGGATCATAATTTCGAAATAAATAGTAAAATTATTTTATTCCATACTTGGTACAATTTTGTACTCTAGGATTAGAAATTCGAGTTTGTTTATATCACAATGGTGTTATTTGTATACCACATTAATGTGAAATAAACAATCACTGGATTAGTAATCCCATAATAAAAATAACAAAAAGAACACATTTACCCGTCTTCAAAGCTTAAAATTTAAAATAAAAGTTTATTTCAATTTATCTAATTTAATTTAAATCAAACACTTATTTTATATTATATAAAGTAAATATTTCATTTTATTCCAATAAATCAAATATCTACCAACAAAAGTAATTTACTAAATAATATTTTTTATTATTTAATCTACGTATTATAATCACATATTAATATTCTGATCATATTCTATCTCTTTGGGCTTCTTTCTTCCATTGCAAGAGGGTATTGAGAATGTTACACTTGTTTTCTGTAAAGTATTCTGTATTTATAATAGTTTTAGACTACTCCATGCAATATTGTCTTAACGTTTTAGGGTGAATATTCAGGTTATTTTTCAATTATATATACAGACTACAATCCCCCCCCCCCTCCCCTCCTCCCCACCACACACACACACAAAAACTATGTGCATGACTGTGTCAAATCAAAACACCTCTTCATTCGATTAATACATTTTCTGAAATGATAATTCAATCGTGTATCATAAAATTACATAAATGGGCAAAAGAAGAAAAACAATGGTAAATGAAAAAAGTGGACCAGATGAAGTCATTAGTGCAGAGATCATGATTTTTAATATATGGTTTCATGAGCTGGCCGCCATTCCCAATATTATGTTTGACCAACATATGACCAGTTGACCAAACGTGCACTAATTCTTTTTTGGTTAATTTCTGCAGCCCCTATTACTACTCTAATAAGAAGACCACACTCCACTGTCTCAATCAATTGAATTTCAAACATAAATTTTGATCATTAGACTATCTTTCCATCAACTTTTATTTTAACACATATTCTAATAAACCCCTCGTGTGCACATATCAATCTCTATATATAGAACGTATCCTTCCCCTAAGTTCAAAAAACCAAAAACACACATTGATCAAATATCACATCAAAAATTCAAAACACACTACCCAAAAAAAAAAAAAACGGAATTAGCTGCCCAATTTTTCACTAAATCGCTCGAAGCTAATAAAATTTCTTGATAATCTATCGCTAAATAAGATTAGCGCCGAATTTTTCTGTTTAGCTACAGAATTTGTCCGTTGCTAATTCCTATTTTTTTTATTAGTGACAGTTTAGACAATGGATTATTCACAGTACAATCATCTTGGTTTCAATGAGAATGATACTGAAGACATGCTTCTTCTCAATGTTCTATCAGAAGCTGGTGAAAATTCATTTAATAATAATCTTCATGTCAATAAACAAGAAACACACTCGAAAGAGAACGAAGGAGCAAATTATAGAGGTGTAAGAAGGAGGCCATGGGGAAAATACGCGGCGGAAATAAGAGATTCAACTAGAAATAGCGTTAGGGTTTGGCTTGGAACGTTCGATACTGCAAAAGAAGCAGCTTTGGCTTATGATCAAGCTGCGTTCACGTTGCATGGGACAATGGCAGTGTTAAATTTTCCAGTGGATATTGTTTATCAATCGTTAATGGAGATGGAGTGTGGATTTGAAGAAGGATGTTCACCTGTTTTGATACTGAAGAAAATGCATTCTATGAAAAAAGGTAAGAATAATATTCATAGAAAGAAAAAGGAAAAAGAGATGAGCTTTGAAAATGTGTTGGTTTTGGAGGATTTAGGAGCTGATTATTTGGAAGAAATTTTGAGGTTGTCTGAAGGTTGTTGTGATCCTTCAATGTCTTTCTAGTATTTTAACTAGCATGCACGCAGAGATTTTGAGTTAAGGATGACAAACGGGACGGAGACAAGTTAAGACTTTTTCCGCTAAAGTTTTGACATGTCATGTCCTGTCCCGGTTAAGATTTTCGTTACTTACAAATTTAATGATCTGTTCTTACTATTTCTTTTCCTCATTTACTACGTACTCGTTCATATCCATCGACATGTATGTATTTTTTTTTAAATATTTTTGATACTAAACCCTTCTCTTCTTGTACTTTAGAGAAGGCAATGAAAGGCCAATTTCACTGGATTTTGTCTAGGTTTTCCACACTCTTAAGTTTATGTTATTGTTTTTATTTTCTCTCAAGGTAAGAAAGGAGTACTACTGTTGTGTGAAATATTGAGACTTTGCTCTTTTTGGTCCTCCTTATTTTTGATCAGCCAATCTGTAGGGTCGGTTAGTTGTACTATAATTAAATGATTTAAAATCTTTTTTTTTAGTTTAAGTTATATAAAAAAAATTTTACACCATCAAGTTTGCTTTACGTCTTGTATAAGATAAACGACGCTCATCACCTTTGATAGGAGAGTGTAAAGGTCGAGAATTAGGTAAGAGAGTAGGTAGTCGAGCATTTTCCTTGTCCTTACCGGTAGTATTAGTGTTAGTCTTGTATTTTCTTATTCGTAATTTTCTATTACTACTTATTATTTCTTTCGCTTCGATATTTTTGTTCGATTACTGGTATTATTGCTTGTTTCTACTGCTTCTTTTTTCATCTTTCCATGAGACGGTGGTTTACCGAAAACTTCTCAACGTAAGCGTAAGGTCAGCATACATACTGCTCTCCCTAGACCCCACTAGTAAGATAACACTGAATTTTTTATTGTAATTGTTACGTTGTTCAAAAAAAAACATTTCACATCTTAAGGAGATTTATCTTTAGATATTCTTTGGGTGAACTTGTAGTGTAAAGTTTTCTTACAATGACGGTGGATATAACATATTCTTTATTTCTTTCCAATATAGTGTACGTACTTCTTATTGGTAAAAACATTCCGATATTTGGCGTTTGCGCCAAACCAATAAACATAAGATATTTTTTTTTCATGCAAATATTTATCACTTAACCAAGGGTGAGTAATATGTAATTATCCTTTAACTGCTATATATATATAAGGTTAAATTGTTTAGTTTGACATCCGATATTATTTCCAAATAATATATATCGCAAAATTAGATGACAGTATAATGACTTTTTTTTAAAAATGTTCCCTCAAGATTCTCTATGTATCGTCGTAGATATGACCGACAATCACACTTTTTCTTCCAAATATCAATTGTCTTGATAAAGTGAATTTGTTTCAGAACATACACTTGGAAAAGAAGAAATCATATATGTTTTCACATTTATCCTTACTTTTCACTTCGTGAAGTGTTAATAAGTTTTAAGAGAGACAATAAGAATGGTTACTACAAATATACTTTTTGTCACGACCCGAATTTTTCACAATCGAGAGTCGTGATGGCGCCTACTCGTAGAAGCTAGGCAAGCCAAATTTAATTACTTTTTCATTAATAACATAATTCCTTTTAACAATTATCGGCAATAATACAAAAGCAACAAAATTAAATAATAAGCGGAAGTCTCAATATTATAGAAAACTGAATAAAATGCGGAAAATCTCAACAAAGCCTCTACCCAAGACTGATGTCACAGTTTCACAGGCGGTCTAAGGATACTACACATAAAGGTCTGAAAGAAATAAACTCGACACTGTCTCCAGAAATACATGAAAGAAACAGGAATATAGATGAAAGGAGATGCCAGGGCCTACAAACGCCTGCAAGGCTACCACGGGTCTCACTGGGCTGAAAGCCTGCTCCCATTCTACTGCTGCTGCTGTCCGAAGCCTAGATCTGTGCAAAATAGCACAGAGTGTAGTATCAGCACAACCGACCCCATGTGCTGGTAAGTGTCTAGCCTAACCCCGGCGAAGTAGTGACGAGGCTAGGACCAGACCAACAAATAAACCTGTGCAGATATATATACAAGTACAACGGAGACGTAGCAAGAAAATAACAATTTAAGCTGGGGAAAGGGAGCATGCTTCAGGGGCAATAGTTAGCAATAAAATTTCAGAAATAATAAAGCGTACATCTACAATTTAACTTCTAGCAGTAAATGAAGAGATAAGGCAACTTTCATATTCAACTCATCTTGTTGCAGGCGTGCAACCCGATCCCATTTCTCAATATCTCGTGGTAGGCGTACCACCCGTTCCCATTTCAATATCACTCGTGGGAGGCGTACCACCCGCTCCCATTTCAATATCACTTGTGGTAGGCGTACCACCTGCTCCCATTTTAATATCACTTGTGGTAGGCGTACCACCCGCTCCCATTTCAATATCACTTGTGGTAGGCGTACCACCCGCTCCTATTTCAATATCACTTGTGGTAGGCGTACCACCCGCTCCCATTCAATAAATCAACAGTTCCTCTAAAAGAAAATTTACTCTAACAAACGCAACAATTAATACGAGTTCATAAGACAACAAGTACACAAAATTTATGATTTACTAAGGAAAATAAATAATGACAAATAACAATTAATTATGGATTATAAGGGGGCAATTTAGTAATTTATATGTTGAATGTCACGTAGCAATCAGGTCACATAATCATGTAGCAATTAAGGCATAAATTCAAGACATAACGTTGCGCAAGGACACCTTGGTTCAATAATAACAAGTAACACGATAAAGGAAAATGTCAACGTAAAGAATCACAGAAGACAAGTAATGCACTTGAACTGATAACAACAAGAAATCATAGCAAACTGCAACAAGTGCACGGCATCACCCTTCGTGCTTTTACTCTCATCCTCACCAAGCAATGATATCATAAAATGTGTACGGCATCACCCTTCGTGCTTTTACTCTCTTTCCTCACATATAGTCAATAGAATTGGGACGGAATGGTACATCGTGCGGCACGGCATCACCCTTCGTGCTTTACTCTCTTTTCCTCACAATAAAACAAAAAATGCACGGCATCACCCTTCGTGCTTTAACACTCTTCCTCACCCAATCAACAATCACAAACAAGGGCAAGGCGATAAATAAACAATAATGAAAATTCCGGCAAGGGAACACAAAAAAACAATTAAAACCCGGCAAGGGTACACCATCAATAATCAACAACGTGTCGGCAAGGGAAAATATTCAATAATCAACAACGTCCCGGCAAGGGAATAGATCAATAACTCTTTCCCTTTCTTTCACTTTCATCACATAGTTCACATTATCACTCGAGCCTAAGCTCCAAAGATTTACTTATCTCATATACCTTCACAATTTGTATTTCAACTCGAGCCAACGCTCCACGAAGTTTAAAGATCACAATTCCTTTCACAAGCTCTTCACAACATATAGAAGTCATCAATTAAGCATGGAAGGTATAACAAAATCCAAACTATTCGCAAAATAAGGACTCACGGTCATGCAAGACACCAATGTATAGATACTCGTCACCATGCCTATACATCGTACCTGACAATTAGCAAGTAGCAAATAATACTCAACTCCTATTCCCTCAAGCTAGGGTTAGACCAAACACTTAACTCGATGCCTGAACTCAACTCAAGCCTCAACTATGGCTTTACCCCGTGATTCCGCAATCAATTCGCTCGTATCTAATCATAAATTGTTTAACTATATTAATAAACACTAAATGAATCCATTTGAATGCATAAAAATGAATTTTCTCAAAGTTTTGCCCAAAATTCCAAAATTGCCCCCGGGCCCACGTGGTCAAAACCCGAGGTTCGAACCAAAACCCGGTTACCCATTCCCCCACGAATCCAAATATATGATTTGTTTTGAAATCGGACCTCAAATCGAGGTCCAAATCCCCATTTTTAGAAAAAACCTAGGTTCTACCCAAAACTCCAAATTTCACCCATGAAAATTATTGATTCTAAGTGGAAAACATGTTAAATGATGTTAATGACTGAAAGAATTAAGTAAAAATCGACTTACAAATGATTTGGAAGAAGTTTTGTTCTTGAAAAACTGCCTATGGAGTTTGGGTTTTGAAAGAATGGTGAAAAATGATGAAAATTGGACTGCGTATAAAATTTGCTGGGCCTCAGATGTGGGAAATGCGAACAAGCAGGTATGGGAATTGCGAAGGTGTTGTTCGCATTTGCGAACTCTGCCAAGGATTAAGCAGTTCGCAATTGCGAGCCCAAAGTCGCATTTGCGACCGGCTCAATTCCGCAATTGCGAACCCAATGGTCGCATTTGCGACCCCAGTGCACGATACCCTTTCCTCACATTTGCGATGCCAGGCTCGCATTTGCGAGGCCTGCTACGCAAATGCGAAAATTGCAGGACTGAGTGTACCAGCTTTTCTCTAAGATCAAAATGCACTACGACACCTATCCAAAACTCACCCGAGCCCTCGAGGCTCCAAACCAAATATGCACACAACCTCAAAAACATCCTACGGACTTATCCGTGCGATCAAATCGCCAAAATAACATCATATACATCGAATCAAGCCTCAAAACTCATGATTTCTAATAATAATTTTTCGTTGATGTATGCTTTCAAGGTTAACCGAATTAATAATTAAACATAAAAATCAATATGATACCTAAATAATGATATATTTTATGTAATCTTAAATTATCGAAATACCACTTCAAATTCGAAAATAATATAAGAAATCTTAACATATGAATATGAAAGAATAAAGAGATGATTGACGCATTTCAATAACACTTAATAAGAAAGTGATACATTCCATTATTTAAAGTAAATAGAAATGGATGCACTTCAGAGTTCTATTAAATATTACATCCCATGAGAGGATCCCAAGTATTTCTAGATATTTTTTAAACAAATTCTATATAAAGTCTTCAAAGTATATATAAAAAATATATTTCGATTTGGTTCGATAAGTCCGAAACAGGTCAAACGACGCCCGTTTTCAACCAAACTTTACAGAAAGTGCTTAAACCATATATAAGACTTGTACCGGGCGCCAGAACCAAAATACGGGCCCGATACCACAGTCTTTTAAACAATTTCATTTCCAATTTCCTTAATTATTTCCAGAAAACAATTTCACGCAAAAATTCATTTCTCGGGCTTGGGACCTCGGAATTCGATTCCGGGCATAGGCCCAAGTCCCATATTTTCCTATGGACCCTCCGGGACCGTCAAATCACAGGTCCAGGTCCGTTTACCCAAAATGATGACCGAAGTCAAATTTATTCAATTTAATATCAAAATTTAGCATTTTTCTCAC